GTTCAGGCCAACACAATTGACTTTTACAAGGGACTTGGAGATATTTATGGAATATATGATAGATCGCTACCCTGGGTAACTACCTTTAACACTTTGAACTTTTTAAAATATTTCAAATGATGCATTTTTACTATGGTCTCGTCTGACTGATAGTTCGTGGCCATTTTGGTGGTCGTTTGCTTCGATCGTTATATTTTCCTGCAGCATATCGAGTTGATTCAGATTAAATGACTGGTGGAGTATTCAGAATGTGAAAATGGCAATTATTTGGAGCTGAGCGGCTTGTATGCTTACTTTATTTCATAAATTTCCTCAACTGTTGACTTTGTGCGGGTTCCGATATGTTTCGACCATTTGTTTGAAGGCAATAACCCTTACTTGTCACGTAGGATGTGACACAGGAGAAGGTATGTTGCTCTCATTGTTATAACGGTAGGATATTGAATGAAGACGTTTTCACCTTATTCTGTCTGCGCCTGAACTAATCTGTCTATCTGCTCGTCGTACCTTCCGACTTAGTAAAGCACGCAAATATCAAAAGACAAAGGCTGGACTGTGACTGTGTATTGAAGTGCAACAACGATAAAGAAAGCCATGGTATTTATACATTTTACAACAATATGGACAGCTAACAGCATTTGAAATAATTGACCTTAATAGCCAATAACAAAGTGTGTGAGAAATCATAATATGCCATATGTGCGACATTGACAGTCAGTAACAAAATGTGTGGGAATGATATACCATATATACAAAATTAGCAGTCACTACCAAAATGCGTGAGAATGATAATATACAAAACTAGCAGTCACTACCAAAATGCGTGAGAATGATAACATACCATAAATGCAAGTTTAAACAGTCAATACCAAAATATGTGGGATCCTATCACCTCCCCCCGTAAAGAGTGTAGGACTTGCTTTTTGGATCTATTTGAAAAGGTTTCGGAGCTCTTCTTTGTCGAGTTGACCTTTGCGTGGTACTGGATAGAGCGTGATCTGTGTGTCTGCCACATAACTGTCCTTTTTCATTCGTACGATAATGCAGCAAGAATTTATCCAAAATTTTTCTGTTGTTCCCTCCCCCTTCGCTTTTGCATAAGCACGCTTAAAGGTGTCGACGAAACGTTCAGTCTGTCCATTCGAGTGGGGATGATACGGGGGGCTACGAATATGCTGGATGCCAAACAGTTTGCAGCAACCAAGTTTGTCCTGGAAGACAGAAGCGTGCTTTTGACGACGGCGTTGCAAGAGAGATTGATCAGATACATCTCCGGGAACAACGTTGTGTGGTGAAGACGAAACATTAGAGCATACTGAATTTAATGGTACATTAAAGATATGGAGCTTGTCTAACCAGTCAAGACCAAGCAAATCCAAATCATGGTAGTTTGTAACGTAACATACACCATTGAAGTGATGCTCACCAAACTGAACCTGGCAATTGATCTCACCCACGAGTTTCAGTTTATCTCCAGAGACATTCTTGGCGAAATGCTCGGTCGGCAGAATCTGTGGGCAACCAAGTTTGCGCCACGTAGTTCGGGAAATTACGGTGATATCTGATGCCGTATCCAACTGAAGACGAATACGTTTGCCATTAATATCTAGTGTTATGTACTTACGTTTGCTGGCGACATCGACTTTGGAAGTTGTATAAATAGTCTGTACTCGAGGAGATTGTTTCGGCTCGAAACGACTACTTCTGTTCCTCACCGAAGAATTTTTCTGCGGTGGACAGTAACCCTCCTTATGTCCAAAACGGTGACAATTACGGCACTTATGCTTCTTGAAAGGACAGAACTTGACAAAATGCCACGAACCACAGTGCCAGCACACTGAAGGAGGTTTAGCTGAATTCTGAGACTGACGTTCTGTGTGCTTAACGGTGATCGGAGGACTTTTCACTGTGTTAATCGAACCAAATTCAGACGACTGTCGTTTGCACTCCACCATAGCAGTATCGTGCTTCAAGTTGATTAAACGTAGGCATTCTGCTGTCACCATTTGTAAAGTCATTTTCGGGTCTTGTTCCACAAGTGACAGAAGTCGAGTTCGTATGTCAGTATCTTCTGGGTTCTTCAACCCACAAATAAAAATCAAACACTTGAACTGATCTGATGTCATTTCGTGTGGTTTGAACCTTTCACATTCCTTGTTCACTTTGCCAGCGTAAGTCACATAATCATCGGAAGGCATTTTTGTCAACTGAAAACATTGATACCGAATATTAAACATGGATGACTGTTCACCAAAGATTTGTGATAAAACGGTGACTGTCTCATCGAATGATAACTCACGTGGGTTCTTAGGCAGAATGAAGTTAACATATCTGTTGTGCTCAACAGTACCAAGTTTTCTTAGTAACAATCGGACTTTGGCAGCATCATCAAACATGTAGCATTCAATACGGAAAACATCTTCGTAACGATTGAACCATGCATCAAATACGAGACCAGATATTGGGTCGTAGTTGAACTCACTGATAGAATTTGAGATGCTTTCATATTTGTCAGAATGAGATGTCGATGGAACTTGAATGGACAGCTTCTGAGTGAGAGCTTCGATTAATTTTAGTTGAGCTGCTTCATTCTGAACTTGCTGCTGCTGCAAGATAGATTTGAGATCGTCCAGAGAGATAGACATTGTAATTGGGTTGTAATTAACACAGTCAAAAATGTTATATAGTTGCGCTGAACAGAATAAAAACTGTCGTCGTTTGCTTGCTATAACTGCGATGAATTAAGAAAACCCCGTCGCCAATTGTTATAACTGCACTGAATTAAGGTAAAACCCCGTCGCCAATTTGTTATAACTGTAGGAAATTGAATGAAGACGTTTTCACCTTATTCTGTCTGCGCCTGAACTAATCTGTCTATCTGCTCGTCGTACCTTCCGACTTAGTAAAGCACGCAAATATCAAAAGACAAAGGCTGGACTGTGACTGTGTATTGAAGTGCAACAACGATAAAGAAAGCCATGGTATTTATACATTTTACAACAATATGGACAGCTAACAGCATTTGAAATAATTGACCTTAATAGCCAATAACAAAGTGTGTGAGAAATCATAATATGCCATATGTGCGACATTGACAGTCAGTAACAAAATGTGTGGGAATGATATACCATATATACAAAATTAGCAGTCACTACCAAAATGCGTGAGAATGATAATATACAAAACTAGCAGTCACTACCAAAATGCGTGAGAATGATAACATACCATAAATGCAAGTTTAAACAGTCAATACCAAAATATGTGGGATCCTATCACTCATGGGGCGTTTGTGTGGAATCGCTGCCACTGATTTTGTGTGATCAATTTTGATAGTTACTTTTAGTCATCAAACAATTCCGTTCTTTGTTATCATCCAGAAAAACAAACGGAAGCCAAAATGGAGGAATAAGACAATAGACAGCGGGACTGAAAGGAAAACGAGGAGTCCTCTAGGAATTCTTGCTCAGAACATAAACATGGTTTAAAGATGTTAGGGACCACAGTTACCTCAGTGATTTCGGTGGATATGGGAATTTAGTGTGTCGTGAAAATAAAAAATATTTTTCGCAATTCAGAATGTTAGGAATCCCATTCATAGGCTGTGTTTGTAGATTTCTGACTGCGAGATACATTAAGTGTAAATAATATTCTCCACTGTCATAACACCTCAGCCGAATCCTAGATTTAACAGCAGAGTACCATCTATCCAGAATCACCGTGAAAGAAGACGGCGCCGGAATAATGGGAACTTGGCTGGGCTTCCCAAACCAGATGGAGAGGTTTACAAATATTTTATCGTGATTTTATGTGGGTTGGGTCACCAAGCTGATGAGTTCCATTTGCCAAGAGTGCTGACTATAGAGAACACAGTATTTACTTTGCTTGTCTGTCGAAAAATGACTGAGCATACTAACGAGCACAAGAACAACTTACGAAGACTAGTCCATACCATGCACATGACGGATAAAGTTCAAGAAGCTGTACCTTAAAGTGATAAGAAAAAATAAGATGTGGTGGACTTTTTCATGTGGCATATGAAGAATCTGTCTGGTGTAAATTCAGGAGCGTATTTGTGGAGTATTAACATAGATGTGCAACATTGTATGCACACTCTGGCATTTTAGTCACAGAATTTTTTAGACCCCTATTGTGGAGGAGTTTGTGATAGTCCATCTGGTTCTTACAAGTTTATTTGCTCGAGACTCCGGAATTAACTGCACTAAAATTGTTTATCGAGTGTACAGTATGCTATGACGTAAAACTTCATGGCTATGTGATATTAAAGTTAAGGTTCTGGTTTTAATATAGTTGCGATGTTGTTTAATTTCTATCTTCTGACTAAATGCAGTGCAAATAAAAGTTATGCTCATCTGTTGCTAGAGTTCGCATCTGTCACTGGTTTTTATCACAATTCGATCAACTTCAATTGAGAGATGACTGTCTGAAAGGATGATTACTTAGGCCGAAACTACAAGGATTAAATACTCTTAAATAAAGCCACTGATCAATGTAACATAATTTCCAAGCGTTTCTAGGGCCCACTTTTGCACCTTACTTGAATCTACATCGTTTCACTCCATGACTCGCATTTCTGTAAACTTTTTCAGTTTTTCACACTTTTGCACCGTCTTTGGCAGTTTGTGATTGTGTTATCACTGACCCTAGAATATAAATGAATTTTCACTGCAGTTCACCATCTGTAACTGCAATTTAGTTCTTTATTCTAAGGTATTCCTTATATCAGGCCATAAGAAAGTTGCCCAAGTTAATCTGTTAACACACAGGTTGTTTCTCTTGAGATCAATCAATGTCTAGGAATCATAGTATAATCGTGAAAGTTGATAAGCTGTAGGATATTCCACATAATTTGATTTGTTTAGAACTGCTTCATAAAAAACCAAATTATTATTGAAACGATTTTATCCACCTTTAACTAATGGTTGCATAAATAATGTCTTAATATAATTGAATTCAAAGTTTTGTTTGTCTAAGTCAATGCTATAAACTTCAGTTGAAAGTTATATCTAATTATTTCAAATATTTGTACTGTGAATACGCGCATGTAAAATACTCATCTACATTGCTATGATTCTTTTACAAAGAAGTAACTGAAAAACTTTTAATAAGTTTCGGGGATGTTTTAAATGGGACAGCTATGGTGGATTACTGGGGATCTCATAGCGGTTCATGAAGTGACAAGTTATGGCTCAGATATGCGATATATCTCAGGCTTCTGCTTGGTTGCCCCTTGTTAGAGCCTCAGCAATCGGATGGATACCAATTTCGCAGCATCCTCTACCAAAAAATATTTGCACTAAAGATGATGTCAGTCGGGAAGTTTTTGAAAAGAAAGCTGTTATTAATGTAAGCGGTCAAAGATTCGAAATACTTACCAGCTGCTTGAACCGTTATCCTCACACTTTGCTTGGATCAGATGAACGTGATTACTTTTATGATGAAAAAACCGGAGAATACTATTTTGACAGAGATCCGGAAATTTTCAGGCATATTCTTACTTATTACCGCTGCGGACATCTGCACTATCCAAAGAAGGAATGCGTTATTCAGTATGAAGATGAGCTTGCTTACTTTCGGATAGCGTCAGAATCTCTAGGTGATTGTTGTTATGAGGATTATCATGATAGCAAGAGAGAAAATTCCGAACGATTGTTAGAGGAGCGAACGTCGACCAAAGAAAATGCTGAGAAACCGAAAGATTTTCGCAACAGATTGTGGCAAGCCTTTGAAAATCCTGAGTTTTCTACTACTGCCATAGTAATTTATTATGTGACTGGATTTTTCATAGCTGTTTCGGTTTTCGCAAACATAACAGAAACTATACCATGTGGTCTTGAGCCTGGATTAAGCAAACAGCGGGCTTGTGGAGATAGATATATCGATGCTTTTTCATGCCTTGATACAGCATGTGTAATTATATTTACTATTGAGTACTGTGCAAGAATGTATGCTGCACCCAACAGATGGAAGTTTTTTATTTCAGTGATGAGCATTATTGATGTCGTTGCTATATTACCATTTTACATAGGCTTACTAATGCCAGATAACAAAGTGAGTTTCTTATGATACATTTTATAGTTATTGGCTCTTTGTTTAATAATTTTTACTTTGAATGCTCCAAGTACTATTAAAGTGTTAATGATTTTGAATATTTAACTTTTTCGGAAAAATTCAGGTCTATAAACTTAGTGACTACAGTTGTAGGTGTCGTCTGTTTTATAACTTTATCGTTTCTGGTGTCAGAGTAAAGATGGTACTTATGAATTTTGATTCCATTAAACTTCACCGATTGTATATGCCTGTAGCGAAGACTTTTTTTTAGACCAGTGTGGAGTGGGGTTTTGCCATGGTGCCTACAGCTTTGGACCTCCTTGATTTTTGTCTGTCAGTTTAAGAATTCCACTATTTTAGCGATTGCAAATGTAATTAGTATTCGTTTTAAAATTTATCTACATACCTCAGCCTTATGTGTTGTATGGATTTTTGAAAATCATTTCAATACAACTTAATAGTTTTGTATTTTCAGAGCACTTCAAAGACTGTAGGACGTTTTCGGTACATTGGAACAAAATTAAAACAGTTTAACTTAGAGAAGCGTTTCAGCAATTATTTCTTAAAACATCTTTCAAAAACAGTATTCACTTAAAAATAGAAATCTAGATGTAATCCCTTGTGTAAGCTCATTATAACTGGTCACGATAAATTATAATTAATGCATAAGTAATCTTGTATGTTTAGCAATACTGTTATAATTAGTGTGTTGTGGGGCTAGCATTACACATATTATGACGTAGATGTAAACATTTCACTCCGATAAACCAACGAAATCATAATTATTGCCAGATTTACAACAGAGACGCATATCTGTTGGCTTGTATTCTATGCATTCACATGGTGGTTCAAAGACACAATGGTAACTATCAAATGCTATTTTGGCTTGCTATTCCAAAGGAATTAAAGTAACTTTTCATTGAAATTGATATTCACTGAGGAACTTAATTTTGTGTGCTCATTATTTTCAAGTATTCAAAGCTACATGCTTTTACAATCCCACCTTACAGCCTCTTGGAATGTATTCGAATTTACATGTTACGTTGTGAAATTCAGTTAGGGATCTTAAAATTTGCGTTGTTTTATAAAATTCTCCTATGTCACATTCACTTTGAAATGTTTTGCACTTGCAAAACAGTTTGCTTGTCAGTTTAATTTTTTAAGGATTACGAATGCTTTAGAAATCTGAAAATCTTAGAAAAATAAGCACGAACAAAGTTATAAAGCAAACGCTACCCTGTCATAGCAAAATGCATAAGTAGCAGTGCTGCATATTAAAGATCACAGTTTAATTTTAAATGATTAAAGTATCAGTTGAGATCGACAAATCCATGTGATTTCGTTGGTATAAATTCCAAAGCGGATGTATATTTATTTGAGGGGTCTAATTAAGGATCCTGTTCTTTGACCTATGTAACTCTGAAAGTCTTCAAACCTCTTACCTTTAGAAGTCTTTTCTGAATATTGAAAAAGGATCTCTTTTCCTTTCAATCATGGAAGTAGAGGCACTGATAGATTGGTTAGTGTTTGTTGCAGAGGTTATTCAAATTAGATAGTAGTGTGAGACATAAGGATACATCTTTTGTAGATCTGACGTTTATTTACAAATGTATTTCTTAACTCCTCGCTACGAGTGAGACATAAGGCTTCAAGCTTCAGCTTTGAAGTTTTATCAGCTGTATATTTTAATGAGATGTAGTTGCTGGTCTCATGTCTATTCTCCTATCTTTATGGGGCTTACTACCGGCTAAGTGGCTTTTAGAAGTGCGTCGACTAAGAATTGAAACCAGACTACTATTGAACCACCAACGTGCATATATATTAGGCGCTAAGATATTTTTTATTTGGATCTTTCTCGATTCACTCTTACTTCTCAGCTTAAAGTGAAATAAACAAGTCTAATCGGACTACAAATGTGTGAGCATAGATTTATCAAATATCACTTTATATTATTTCTTCAAAAATTAAATTTTTAATTTATGCATAGAAAAATGAAAATGAACAAACATTTAGGTTGACAGAGAAGTCAATTAATTTTATTCCATTATAGATAAAATTTTTATTTTGATAAAGTCACAGTGCTATACAATAAGTAATATTTGCTGATGACTACGTTTCAAGCACAGTTTATTACTTCTCATAATCATATCAGGGTGCTCACTCACATAATTTTCTTGCTTGGTTCATATACATCAGTAAAAATTGATCAGAAATATGAATAAAATCAATAAAAGACATGCGTGAAACATAAAGGGAGATAAAGTACATTCGTAAACACTATAAGTGTTATCAATAAAATATAATAGGATTGGAAATAAGACGGGAGTTGTTAGTTAATAAGATGGGAAACAAGATGTACGTATAGTTAAATAAACAACTTGTTAGAGTGTTACAAGGTGAAGTGAAATGAATTTTAACATTATTTATTATTCTCTGATTTGAATGATAACAATATCTTCTAATCTCTTGTGTCTGCGTTGAATCACTTCTGTTGTATGTGTTGGATGTAGACTCGATGAACCAGGATTCAGTGATCGGTCTATCTCTCCACTTACCTTTATTATTTCCTTGAATTTAGACTCTGTTTCACTCACACCAACGTGTGGTTGTGTGTTAATGCATGTAGTGTGATTGCTGAGTTATTTTCTAAATTACTCATTTTCGTGGGATAAATCATTCTAACCTTAGCTAAATTCTTATGTTCTGATAACCTCACTACTCCTAATCTACTAGTTTGACCTACGTAGGTGACCTAGCTCACAGTCATTGAAAGGTATTTTATGAATAGTATTATTCTGTCTAACTGGATCTACCTGATCCTTTAACCTGCAGAGATTGTCTCTGAGTGAGTTTGTAGGTTTGAATGCCACCATAATTCCTGGTTTATTAGGAATCCCATGTAGGGTTTCAGATGTCCCCTCTTTATGTGGTATAACTGTAGATGCCTTATATTCATTCTTATTTATGTTATTATTATTTTTACTTTACTTTTGATCATTTTTGATATTTCTAATGAATTTATAGGATAATTATTTAACACCAACATTTCTTCTATCTGTTCCATTCCATCATTTAGGTCTTTTTTGTACCACTTAGTGCTATTTCTTGGTTTATTAGACACTTAACTAAGCCTGGCTTTGCAGACAGCGGATGAGGTGAATTAAATTCTTAGCATCTATCAGAATGTGTTGGCTTTTATAAACGCTAGTATACATACAGTTTACCTTCTTCTGTTCGATTCATTTTACAGTCTAACTTAGCTAATTCTCCTTGTTCATTTTCTGATTCAAATGTGAATTTTATTCCCTTCACTACTGAGTTTATTTATGTGTGAAGAATTATTTATTTTATTTTTATTTTTGATTACAGCTTGATTCCATACTGTATTTTTGGTACAGGTATGGAATTTTCAGCATGGATATCGGTAGCCCAAATTTTGCCGGCCAACCATAGATATCGGGTGTGCGTCGGCAGGGGATCGAACCTCGGACCATGTGCATGGTCGGCGAGAGCCACCGACGAAGCTAAAGATATGTTCTGTTTTTAACATTGTTTAAGTGTCATCCACATATCTCCATATATCTTTGGAGTAGGATTGAGTGTATTCAGAGCAAGATATTCCCACCTGTCCATAAAGATATCTGCTACGATAGGGGATATTGGTAATCCCATTGCTACACCATCTGTGTGTTTATATATTTTGCTTTGGAATTTAAAGGCAATAGATACGAAGTATAACTGAATACCTAAAATAATTTTCTCAATGGGTAGCTGTGTCCTGTAGGTCTGAGCAATGTTTACTCATGTATACAGATGAAGCAAGAAAGTTGTGTGGGTGAGTATCTTGATATGATTATGAGAAGTAATAAACTGTGCTCGAAACGTAGTCATCAGTAAATATTACTTATTGTACCACACTGTGACATTATCAAAATAAAATTTTTATCCATAATGGAGTTTCACTCTGCCACAGTGTCCAAGTTCTATCTTTATATGAATTACTTTTAGTTCTCCTGTCTCATTTTAGTGAAACATATTGACTAAATAACATGAAGATGACATTAAATGCATAATAGTAACCTTAAATATCTTAAAAAAATAAAGGGTTAAATCATGGCACATTTTAAATCCGTATTCCAGTATGTAACGTTGTTTTTATTTCGAACGTTTCTTGAGGTGAATGCATAAGCCTAATAACTGTTCCACAGACTACAAATCCTCTTTATTGTAAAATTGAGGGAATAACTATTTTATATCCAACAAGAAATAGGCCAGTTAACCTATTGTAGACTAAATAATCTTGTAAGAAACGAATGTAATTGGTGAAACCAATTAAAAACATGGTCTTTTGTGTATTGTACAAAGAAACTCCGAACATTCTATTATATAAGGCGTGGATAGTTTACCTTCTTTGAAAGAAGGTAACAACGTTGACAAACATATCTTCGTATACATTTATCCGGAAGATTTGTGTTAATGAATGATGCTACATACTTCCGATTGACTGATAAGGGTAACTGGATACTATTCACCCAGCAGTGCTTTTTAGCCGGAATGAAATGTTCTAGATACCGGAGGGCTGTTTCTTTCGGTATGTAGCCTCGCTCATCAGCGGTGAACCCGATTAGACTCAACTCAGATGACCGAATCAGTTCACACTGGTAATATCTGGTATACGGTTGATGGGCTTTGCTCCAAACGAGAGAAAAGACTGTCCGATGTTTAGACCACCTCGATTTGGCTATCAAATCTCATCCAACTGCCAGTGCTAAATAGTCAGGAGTATGTAGCATTTTGTATTCATGCTTTATTGAGTACTACTTATGGTATCAAGTAGATCAGATAGTTTGATCTTAATAATTTAATTTTATAAAGGAAGCTGAGAAGAAATTTCACCTCAAACTGTATAAACTGCAAAAACGGCGAATTTTATTTGCGAAATTGGTTGGATTAAAGAAATCAGAAAATTTTCACACTGAAAGTGAAGTTTTTGAAAGTCA